TGACACATCATCTCTTTCCTTTCCACTTAGAGCTCCAATGTGCGATTCCTGCCCCTCTCCTCCCGTTATGTACTTGGCACTAGAAGTGCTCTAGTCCAGTGGTCTCCACCCTTTTTAATGCTTGAGATCACTTTTTGAATGTAAATGCAATCCAAGATCTACCTGAGACCCAAACACCCTTGCCCCGCCTCCTTTGTGCCCCTTCTCCAGAGGCCCAGCCCCTGCTCATTCCATCCTCCTTCCCCCCTTTCACTAGGCTGGGGCAGAGGGTTGGGGTGCAGGCTGTGGCCTTGGATTAAGGGATTTGGAATGTGAGAGGGGCTCTGAGCTGTTGTCAGAGGGGGTTCTAGTTTGGATGCCGTCAGGGGTGATCGGGGCTAGGGATGCAGGAGGGGGTTTATGACTGGGGTAGGGTTTCGGAATGTGGGCTCCAGCTGGGCACTGTTTACCTCAGGTGACTCCTGGCTGGTGTTGCAGTGGGGCTAGGGCAGGCTCACTCCTGTCCTGGCTCTGCACCACTCCCCAAAACAGCCAGCAAACTCCCTCCATCCCAAGCCCTGTTGTCCCTTCGCTGCTCTGTGGAGCTAGGATACAAAGTGGGAGAGGGGGCACCTTGACATCAGCAACCTCCCCACTCTCCCACCTTGACGGCGGCCATTTTGATGTAACTGAAGCGGCGATTATTTAAATCGCCACTTCATTTTGCTATGTCTAGTAAACTCATCTACATGGCTCCGTCGACAGAGCCATGTAGTCTAGACACACCCTCAGTGAGAGAAAGCGCTGCTGTCAGAAAAAGTAAATTCAAAGTCTCCCCAATTTTCTTCAAAGATCACCTCTACCAGGCAGTGGTGCTTTTACTCATTTGTCCCTTATATGTTTGAAGGGTGACTAAATGTTATCTGGATCTTTTTGGGCCATATCAACAGGTTGTTTTGGGCTCAATCTTAGATTAAAATTTAAATTGTATTAGGCCCTTTGTAAGCAGGTTGGGAAGTGGTCTCATTTGGCAATTATTATTCTGTATTATTTACATAATATACACATTGCCATCTTGGTATTGACATATACATTTCTCAGTGGGTAATGTAGGCATACCGCACTTGCAAATGAAGCCCGGGATTTGAATTTCCCAGGCTTCATTTGCATAAGCGGGGAGCCGCCATTTTTAAAACCCCGCTGGTTCGAACCCCGTGCAGCGTGGCTACACGGGGCATGAACTAGGTAGTTCGAACTAGGCTTCCTAGTTGGAACTACCGTTACTCCTCATTTCAAATTCAAATCCCGGGCTTCATTTGCAAGTGCGGTATGCCTACATTACCCTGCTAGTTCGAACTAGCGGGGTAGTGTAGATATACCCTGGGTTACATTGAGCAAATGGCCTGTAAAGTTTCTTGTTCAGTGATACAAAAATATTCACTCTTACTCGCTTGGGACTGTGCCAGGGCTCAGAGCTATTGCAGGGTGCAATCTAATTGGTCTCCATGCAGCCTTTGGTAAGAGCACGAGAGGCTATTGGCCAAATACAGCTGGCCTAGAACTAGTTCTAAGCTTGTATCAGTTTGTACAGGGATGGGCAATAATTGGACCAACCCAAAAGCGGTCAGTTTGAAATCCCCATCTGCATTTTTATTGGCTGACCAGATACCTGGCTAGGTACAGGGGACATGATTAACCCCTTAGTCCCCAGGCTGCTGGCCATCTCTCATGGTCATGACAGACCCCAAAGCTGAAATAATTGCATGGAGGACAGACAGAAACATGATAAAAGACTAGTGGAGGAAATAAGGTATCATTTTTATAAGCTTCCGAGCCCATTCTTGTGCTCTGCAGGTGTTAACCCACACTCTTTACTGTAACATGTTATCAGCCTGACTTCCTTAGCTGTGCAAGGGCAAATAAACAGCCTACGTGCATGAGAACAAAAGACACGTGAGTCTCTTATCCCCACATTAGATGAGTCAAGTTTTATTGCTTAGTGAGTTAAAAAAAAGCCTTAAGAAGTGCCAACTGCTTTTATTAGTTACCTTTAATTTTCTCTTCCATACTTTTGAGAAACAGTATTGTTCCTTACAATCCTATTCTTTTTCCAGTTGATAACACTGAAAGGGATTCTAGAAAGTTATTTTTAGTTTGTAATCTGAATTTTAATAAACAATTTAATAAACAATTTAATTTAATAAACATTTTGAATCTATTCTTCTGATGCGCACCCATAAAATAGGTGACAATAAAATAGTATCACCATTTCCGGTGAACACCAGCTAGAAAAGGACTTTTGCTCGAACGGGAGCAGCACAGTATTTCCGCAAGAAGCACTGATTTCTTACATGAGATCATCAGTGTTCTTGCAGAAATTCAAGTGTCCAGTGTAGACAGCTGGCAAGTTTTTCCGCAAAAGCAGCTGCTTTTGCAGAAAAACTTGCCAGTCTAGACACAGCCTATATGTTTGAAGGGTGACTAAATGTTATTTGGAGTCATATCAGATTGTTTTTGGCTCAATCCTAGATTAAAATTTAAATTGTATTAGGCCCTTTGTAAGCAGGTTGGGAAGTGGTCTCATTTGGCAATTATTATTCTGTATTATTTACATAATATACACATTGCCATCTTGGTATTGACATATACATTTCTCAGTACCTTTACATATAAAATTGACCTCCCTGGGCAATGTACCTTGTAAGGAGTGATGGGGATACAATGAAGTTGTTTAAACAAATATGTTGCAATTGTAGAAAAAAAATTGTGTGTCTGAAAACTGTAGGTACTGGGGGTACTTATCAATTTTTTAAAAGGGATTTTTAAAAGGGATCCTTTATACAAAAAAAAGGTTGAGAAATACTGCTCTAAACCATTCCTTTTGGCCACCCTGTTTCCTTTCTCCTTTGACAAGTTGGGCAGGTAGCAGTTTTGGTAAAAATATATCAGACATGTGCACGCAGTGCCTGCTCTACCTCAGCTGGTGCTGGATAATCAGAGCCTCAATTCTAAAGGATTACCAAGGTGATCAATCCTCCCACGTTTTGTTGTGGATTTTCCAAGGAAAAATCTGGTGTTCTCTATAGGTCACCCACATCTCCCAATCATAGCAGAGACTTGGGATTAAACGTGGCTTTCTCAACTAAAACTCTTATACGTGTTTGGATGTTGTGATTGTGAACACCTGGCGAGGCAGTCTGCCAAGGGCAAAGCTGGCCTCTTGAATCTCTGGCTTCAGGTGAGTGGCTTGTGTGAAATTTGGAAGAGCAGCTCAGAGACACCTCTCTCCTTTACTTAAGGATAGAATCTCACGGCAGCCTGAAGGAAAAAGTCCTCATGGCAGACTGACAGCCTCGCTTGCAGCGTATCCTCAGCCTTAGGCTACTTATTGCTTCAAGAGACCGAGGGTGATTCTCGTGTTGTGTTTTAGTTTTATTTAAAAGTTTTTTCGGAGTGTTATTTTAACAGGTAAGTTAATCTCTTGCGTTCACTGACATAGCAAAGGAGGTGTGTGGGGGGTAATTGCCCTTCTGCTCCCCCTATCATACCTCTGCTCGCCTGCCCCTTCTCCATCCACCACCACCTGCTTAAGCCTCCTCTCTGCCTCTGCACTCCCAGCCCGACCTTCCTCCCTCTTCAGCAGTGGGATAGTGCCCGCCCCAAACTGGAGGGGGTGGGGGAAGACGCAGTACAAGCTCCCCCGCCCCTATCGGGTTCAGCTGTGCACCAGGTTCGGGGCCCTGTCATGTGGTGGCGGGAGAGTGGGGAGGATGCAAATTTTGCTTTTGTCCCCAGGTGCATAACACCTGCGCTATGCCTCTGTCCCCACCCATAGACCCTGAGTGGTCTGGGTGGTGGTTCCCTCCAGATGCCTGTGTCCCTGGCAGCGGGAGGAGACTTCACGTGCTCCCCCCCTACTGCCCTCAGGTCAATCAGGGCCTGGGGAGGGGGAGCATGTGAAGTCTCTTGCTCCCTGCCCCTGCCCTACAAGGGAGCTCCAGGCTTAGAGTCAACCGCCAGCTGAGCAGTAGCTGGCAGTTGATTTTGAGTAGAGCCCCTTACAGAACAGTAGGAGACTTTGCACGTTTCCCCCTACCCGCAGACCCTGATTGGCCTGGGGTTGGGGCGGAGCGGCAAGACCTCCGTTGGCCTGGGGTTGGGGCGGAGCGGGCCGGATCCCTTTTGCCCAACCCTGAGTTTGTACGTTAGTGTCAAAGTTCTATACAAAGGTGAACGGTATCACTGTCCCTGGCTCCCAGGTGCCTCTGGTAGGTACCTCTGGTAGACTTGGAATTTTGCTGCCCAGTTCCAGGCTTTAGTGCCCAAATCGTGCTAGATTTTGTATAGGCTGTATTACATGACATCCACACCAGTGTGACTTCTCTAAGCAAAGCAGCCCCTGCCTATTTTAGGTATTTATAGAACACTCTGGCATGAGTGTATCTCAGACTTTTTAATGTATTTAGCTTCATGTGCCCCCTGTGAGGGAGTACTGAGGCCCAGAAAGACTGAGTAAGTTGTCCCTGTGAGGGAGTACTGAGGCCCAGAAAGACTAAGTTGCCCATGGTCATATGAGGAATGTGTGGCAGAGCAGGTATTTGAACTCACACCATCTGAGACCTTGACTAGAGCCTTACCTATCACACCATCCTTCCTCTATCCCACTTTTTTACAGACAAAACAGCTGTGTTTTCCTTGGTGTGTACAACCAAAGCCTTAGTTGTGGCTTTAAACCAAGCCAATGTGGCTGCAGCTTTGCATCCGTCTAATCTGGCGCACAGGCCAGGTAACATTCATGAGGAAAGAGGGCTTTTTCATGCTCATTCCCACATGAGGAAGTTTCACTCCAGATAGGATGGGTGCTTGGAGCAGGGGAAAGTGAGGGACTCGGGGTCTAGGGACGAATGCTTTAAAACGTGGTACTTTTTGATCATTGATTTTTCAGGGTGCTCATGGCCCGCCCTCTGCAGCAAACGGGGCATCACACACAAGCTCGAGGGAGCGGGCACCGTGCAGGGAATACCCTTCCTGGGGGACGCTGGAGGACAGCACAGCCTGGTGGCACAGCCCGGGGGGCCCCACTGGGGCAAAGTGTGCAGCCCACAGAGAACCCCGGTTGTGGGGTGGCCCAGCCGAGGGGGTCCTGCCCAGGGGCACTGCCCAGCCAGCCCCAGTTTGGGGAAGTCACAGAGCGGGGGTCGGTGCTGCCCAGAGATCCCAGTTCATGGGCGGGCCAGCCCAGGGGGTCTCGCTTGGGGGAGTCCTGCCCAGGGATCCTCAGCAGGGCGGCCTGGCCCTTTAAGCCCCGTGCCCCGTTGCTATGTCCTGCGAGGCTCTGCCCGCGGCCGCCGGCTCCTGCGCTTCCCCGCGCGGCCATGGCCCCCAAGAAGAAGGGAGGGGGCAAGAAGGAGGAGGAGGCCAGGCAGGAGGGGAAGGCGGAGCCCGCCGTGGCCAAGCACAGCCGGGAGTTCTACCTGCTCCAGATCCTGGACCTGGAGGAGCGGCTGGCCCGGTGCGGGGCCGGGGGCGCCCGAATGCAGAGGCCAGGGAGGAGCCAGCCCTGGGGGTGGCTGCGCCCCCAGAGGGGCGAGCTGCGGTATCCCCATCCCGGGGGGGGGGGGCTCTGCCCAGCTCCGAGCAGAGCTACTGGCTCCCGTTCAGGGACAGGGAGGGTGAGGCTGAGTTGAGGGCGGGGGCATGTTTTGCTGCAGACACGCCATGGGGAGACCGAGGCAGCAGCAGCCCCCCCCCCAAAGCCCAGCTGTGTTTGTGTTAAACAGCTGCCATGCCTCTCCCCAGAGGTGGCTGCAGTTCAGCGTGGGGGCGAAGGGTGTCTGTATACAGAGCTGCCCGTGTCCCTCCCCTGAGGTGGCTGTTCTTTCGGTGTGGGGTGGAACGATTCTTGTTAAGTACAGATTGTGAAACCATAGCATCCTAGAACTGGAAGGGACTGCGAGAGGTCATCAAGTCCAGTCCCCTGCCCTCATGGCAGGACCAAATACCATCTAGATTACCCCTGATAGAGGCCTATCTAAATCTGCTCTTAAATATTTCCAATGATGGAGATTCATGGGGGCATGTGATGAAACACGGCCACTGCCAATATTCAATAGCATTAAAATACACAGCCAAAAAAAAAAATGTAAAGTGGCAGAAAGCCAGGAGTATGTGCAGGGTTATTGCCATTACCTACTGTATGTGGTTGGTCCAGTCAGACAAGGGTTAATTGTGAGTCCATTCCATCTGCTTTAATCAGAAAACCTGGAATCTGATGTGTTCCTGTTGACAACAATGGACAAAACTAGGAATATTGTTGCAACAAGGGGCTAGTCTGCATCTGTGTTTAATTATCTGTTGCCTACATCAATGTGTGTTTAATCCAGAGAAAGATCTGGAAAGTGCAAGGCCTGGAAGCTGGTAAATTGGGCTATTTTAACCTCCACATTGCTTGAAACAGCCTTTCCTTTTTTTAATGGAAATTAAATATTTATTAAGGACATTCAGGGGCATCTTCTGAGATGCTTTAACATGCGATAATTCACAATGCCTAAAGCCAAAGCAATGGGAAAGAGGAGATTCCAGGAGCTAAATAGCCCATGAACAAGTGTAATGTACTGTGGAGGGCTTTGGCTTCTGCAGAATAGAATCCGAGTGTTTGAAGAGACCTCAGGAGGTCATTGAGTCCAGCCCCCTGCCCGAAGCAGGACCAACCCCAACTAAATCATCCCAGCCAGGGCTTTGTCAAGCCAGGACTTAAAAATCTCTAGGGATAGAGATTCCACCCCCTCCCTAGGGAACCCATTCCAGTGCTTCCCCACCCTCTTAGAGAATGCTATTCTTGGAGGGCCAGAATAATGTCAATGGATCACTTAGTAGTAGTATTAGGAATCTTGGGAGCAGGACGCTATGGGACAAGGACATCTCCCTACCTGGAACAATATGAGACTTGCAGCTCTCATTTAAATAAATAGTTTCTAGCCCTCCTGGCTATAGGAAAAAGCTTGGTGACATGATGTACTCTAAAGGCTCAGAAACCAGATGGCCAATAATAACCCCCCCAAAAATAGTAATTAAAAAAACCTCCATGATTTTTAAGCGAAGCTCATGATTTCTGGAGGGCTTAAGAAGCGCCGCCCTCAAAACTTTGGGATCCCTTTACAGTTTGGAACCCTTTGGTGGTGGGAATTACTTATGAGTGCTTGATGGATGAGCACACTGCACTAGGCCTTCAGAAAGGGATTTAAGTGAGACTCGAGTGGTTTGTGGGTTAGGCCCTCCATGGAGAGGTAAATGTCAGCCTAAGGAAATCACTGACTGTTGTCCCTAGCCACGAAGCCTCAGTTGTGCTGCTTGTCTTTGGAGGTGCCTTCCTTCGGGGTGTCTGCTCTGGCGGCCAGGCATTTCAGAAATGTTGGCATCACTGTCTAGGCTCATGATAGCCCTTTACCACTGCTGCTGCAGAAACCAATTATAGTGTGGGTGAAACATTGGCATAGGGCACAAGAAGGAACCGAGCCCGGGGTCAAAGGTGCAGCTTCTCTTTCTTTTGCTCCCAGACACTTTGCTTTGAGCCTATGGGTCACATTCAGTGCTCGGGTAAGGAGGTGCAGCTCCCACAGAAATCAAGACACTTTACCTGATTGCAGCTGGACTCAGTTTGGCCTCTTGTGTTGGACTAAGAATGGCAGGGCTAGGCAGTGAGATCCTGTCCTTTGTTGCAGTGTCCTCTGTCGTCTTCCTGTCCTGGGACAGGACTGGGGGTGCCCAGATATTAGATGGGAGTGCAGGAGAAAGGGCCATGGGTAGTACCCTGCTCCAGTCCCACTGCAGTCAGGCTAAGAGCTGTCTCCTGTGTTTGCCCTGAGCCCAAGCACTAGGAGAGACTGGACCTACTGCAAATAGGTGGGGATAGGCAACCAGCCTGGACTCTGCTCTGACTGCCCATTTGGTGCTGCTTTCCCCGGCAGGTACCAGCGAAAATGGGACGAGCTGCAGGTGAACGAGACCCTCTTCAGGATGGAGTACGAGCAGATGGCCCTTGACAACAAGGAGATCATGGCCTTTCTCAAGAAGACCCTGAACCAGCGGGTGGATGAAATCGCTGAACTCAATGACCAGATGCTCAGCCTGCAGCAGGCCAAGGAAGCAGAGAAGGACGCCTTCGAGGCCCAGCTGGCCCAGGTTCGCCATGAGTTTCAGGAGACCAAGGACCAGCTCACTTCGGAGAACATGCTGCTAAGTAATGTGCCCTGGCTCAGATTGGCCCCTTCTCCCTTGTCATGGTTCTTTTAGGGGCAGTGGGCTGCCGGTGCTGCAGTGCAGGGACAGAGCCTGGAATTCTGGGGGGTGAACCGTTCCAGCTTGGGGCTGCAGCCATAGGTTGCTGAGAGAATAGCCAATGGAAATATTTTAGCTGGAGCTAAATATTTGGATCTGGAATTTGTACACCCCGAGCACTTTGTTTTGATGAAAATGATTTTTTTGCTTTTCATTGACATTTTCAGCGGAGCACTTTACATTTTAGCAATAAAAAGAGTTTGAAAAATGATTTTTTTTCTGGCCCAAAGTTGCTGAAAACAAAACAAAAAAAAAGAAAAAAAAAAGTGGGTATTTGGCAGAAGATTTGGTTTTTTTTTTCCTGTTGAAAAATCTTAAAACATTCAAGGCAAGAAGATGCTTTCTGCAAAAATGTTTGTTTAGCAAATACCTGACTTGCCATAGCAGACGAGCTTCACTGGAAAATTTTGGACCACTTTTAATTCCAACTGCGTGGGGGGCATATGGAGGTGGGAAGACAGAGCCTTGTGGTGTTTTCACACTGGAGCTTCCCTCTTTCCACCACAGTGTGTAATGTGATGGCTCCGTGCTATCTATTGCTGGTCCTCACGGCAGGTATTGCCTGGGCAGCCTCAGGCCAAGCTTTCCCCATATGCGGGCCTAGTATTGATATTACTGCAGCACCATTGCACTAGGTGCTTTACAAATGTACTGAAGAGACCTGGCCTCATAAAGTTTGTGATCAGGGTGGCTGAGAAAACACAGAATGGGTGTGTGGTGGTGAGAAAAGAAGCTGGGGAGGATCTCGCAATGGGATTTGCCAGCTTGTTGAACTCTGCCTCCCCCATTTCCCCTCCCCCCAGTCCTAAGTGATCTCTGCTGACAGGTGGGAAGCTGGCTGCGCTGGAGGAGTTCAGGATCCAAAAGGATGAGATCATGGGCAAGTTTGCAGCCCTAGAGGAGCAGCTGAAGAAACAAAAGGACGATCACAAGGAGTATATCTACAACCTGGAGAAGAAAGCTGTGCTGGACAAAGACAGGCCAGTGCCAGGCTCTAGTTCCCCACTTGAGTCCCAAGGAGGGAGTGGGACGTGGGAGCCAGAATTTCTATTCCTGGCTTTGCTATTGACTCGCTGTAGGACCTCAGTTTCGTGGGGACGATATTCCTGGGGAAGGGAGAGCCTTGGTGACTGGGAAGTGTTCTGAGCCCTGGAGATTCGGGGAGGTTCTCCCCCTGGGCTGAGTGGGATGCCAGGGGACCTTTCCTCTGCAGCTGGGCGGTAAATGGGTGCTGTGCAGGGAGAATTTCCATCTGGGGAGGTGCTGGAGTTCTGGGAGAGCTTCCCCAAAGCCTGGGGGTAAGTAGGATGGTGTGAAAGCTCCCCTATGGGTAGAGTGCCAGGAGCACTTCTTTGCTTGGGCTGAACCCCTTAGACTGGGGTCCGATTTGCCGGTACTGAGGCATTGGTAGCTGCTGTGGGTCCTACCCGGGGTGATGTCCTCCTCTGTGTGTGTACGCTCCACCCCTGCAGGCTGAAGAAGGAGATGATGCAGCGCGTTCACGTGGTGGCAGCCGAGTTCCGCAAGGTCTCCAACAGCCAGATGGCAGAGACCACCAAGCGCACCATCCGTGAGAACGTTGCCATCAACCTCCAGCTGGCCAAGATGTCCGATCGCAGCTACGACCTCATCCAGGAGAACGACAAGCTGAAGGAGGCCCAGACTGAGATGCAGAAGCAGCTGGAGATGCTGGAGCACAATGAGAATCAGATAGCCAAGAACAGTCTTAGCAACCAGAAGGCAAGAGCTCAACCAATGCTCGGAGGGAGGCAGGATGCTGGAGCCAGGCTGTGGTCCTGTCACTGCTCCAGCTTGTCTGCACCTAGGGACCAGGTGGTAGCTTTCAGGGACCTGGTCTTCCCATTCCCTGGCAGAGCTATTGCCCTAGAGTTTGCTCAGCCCCCCACGTACGTGTAGAGGCTCATCACTTTGTTGGTTCATTACCGAGGCAGTAGGAGCTGACAGTGGGCATGGGCAACTTTTAGCCTGTGTGTGGGTGGGAGTGTGTAGCCTGGGCTGAGGCTGGTACCTGAGATGTTCCTCTTGTCTCCTGATCCCACCACGTGTTCCTGCTGGTTTCAGATGATTTGGATGCTCACCAATAAATGCAAGGAGCAGCAGGTGCTGGTGGATGAATGCGAGGAGCAGAAGGAGGCCATGCTCCAGCTGAAGGTGGCCCATGAGCTGGTGCAGAAGGAGAACCAGGTGCTACGGTAGGTGCAGCAGAGCGAAGGTGACAGCAAGGCTTTGAGATCTCATTCCAATGCTGCAGCTGGGCCCTTGTTGCAAGGACGTGTAGAGGCAAAGCAGAGTCTTTGTGTTATGGTCCCATTACACTGCCCGGGCTAAGTGTGGCCAGGCCAGGCTGGAGGGGAGGCCTCTGAGGAAAACCCAGGTAGGACAGGAATTGGGGTCCGTGTCTCAGTGTGGTGCTAGAGGTGCCGCACTGCTAGCTCTTTCATGAGATGGAAAATGTAGAGCCGGCCGGCTGGGGAAGAGGTGCCGCACTGCTAGCTCTTTCATAAGATGAAAAATGTAGAGCCGGCCGGCTGGGGACTGGAAGTTCAGTTTCATGGGAAATTCTGACATTTTGAAAACTTTTTGTTCTGAATAAAAAATGTGAAAATGTATAACATTTAAACACGGGAATTTGCATTAGTGTTTAATATTAGCCATCGAATGCAGGATAGAATGTACTAGCTAACGAATGTTGTAAGTATAAATGAAATTAATCAAAACGAGGAAGCCCCAAGGGAACGTTTTGCCTTTTCAAAGTGCAGCAGGAAAGTCAATGTGATTAATTTGACTCTTTTGCATTGAAAATGTTGAAATTGACACATTTTGTCGAAAGTGCTTTTTTTGATGGAGAATTGTTAGAAGTGTTTGAGTAGGTCTTGTCCTGCCCCCTTGTGCCCATGAACCCCATCGGGTGGGAACTTGGAAGAGTTGTGGTGTTAACGGACGTGTCCTGGCTCAGTGCTCTCTGCAATTGCAATTCCACAGGGAATTGTCTTCTTCCCTTGCTGACCTAAACTGTCCTGCAGTGTTGCCCTGTGTGTTTTTCAAGAGTTGCTGCTTCCTGCCCTGGAGGTGGCTGCATTTAAGTGCTGAGGGACGTGATCCCTGCATATCCTGTATTCACTTGCTTCATAGGGCCCTTGTGATGCTTAACTAAGCCATGTCTGTAAAGCCTTTTGGATGGGAGAGCTGAGTATTATTGGGATTATGCTGCTGCTCACCCTGAGTGTGTCTGTGTGGCCTTGGCCCACTCAACCGTGTCACAAACTCAGCAAAGCTCTGTCATGTCCCTCCACACTCCAGAAGAGCCTGTGCCTTGTGCTGCACACAGCTCCCCAAAAGGCCTGCGCTGGAGCAAGGAAAATGGCCCGGTCTCTGGGCACATCCTGCCCAGCAAGGGCTGCTCTGATCACCCAGCTGGGGCCTCGGCCTGCAGTTGGGAGCTGTATATACAAGACACTCAGGGACCCCATACAGAGCCTGGTGTTCCCAGGCAGTTACCAGGGGTGTAACTCTTGGAAAGTATACTCGCTCTGAGACCTTGCTCCCACAGATGTGCAAGGTGTGCTTTGCCCACTGCAGGCCTTCCTGGGGACCTCACTCAGACAGACCTCTCTCTGAAGCCAGATTTAGCCCCCCCCCTTCTCCCGCCACCATATCTCCCGGACTTACAGACAGGCTGGCAGACACAGACTTATACACACTTCTCCCTGGAGTCCTGGGTTGGATGGACAGACAGATACACGCACACATTTCTTTGGGGACCTGATTTGAATGGACAGACAAGCAGACATATATATACCTGGGGACCTGACTTGGACAGACAGACCAACTTCTTTGGGGACCTAATTTGAATTGAGAGCAGATAGGCCTCCCTGTGGAACCTGATTTAGACAAAAGCGACGAGGAGTCCTGTGGCACCTTATAGACTAACTGAAGTGTAGGAGCATAAGCTTTCGTGGGCAAAGATCGACGAAGTGGGTCTTTGCCCACGAAAGCTTATGCTCCTACACTTCAGTTAGTCTATAAGGTGCCACAGGACTCCTCGTCGCTTTTGCAGATTCAGACTAACACGGCTACCCCTCTGATACTTGATTTAGACAAGTTCATGAACATGCACACAGGACTCTGGGGCCTGCTGGAGTTGATAAGCATTTCCCCTAGAGCCCTGCACTCCAGGCGTCCCAGGTGAAGTGCTTGTTTGCTCCCTCACCCCCGGGTGTTCTTGTCTGCCTCTGTCCCTACAGACAAGAGCTGGAGGAGCTGAAGGACGAGGTGAGGAAGAGGAAGGAGGAAGGGCAGAGTCAGGCCAAGCTCCTGGAGGAAGAGCAGAAGCTCAGGAGGAATGCAGAGAGGACCCTGAACCAGGCTGTCCAAGCCCTGAAGGACCTGCTGCAGGTAAGACTCAAGCAGTCCCAGGGATTGGGGTGGGCATGCTGTGGTGGCTGTTTGCCATTAAAAGGGCCAGAGCCCAGCATGCTCCTGGGATGGGAATATTTCCTGGGTTTGCTCCCAAAAGCTAGAACAGAGCAGGACCAATGGCCATAAGCCACCACCGGGATCACCAAGATCAAAGGCCAAGAACGACTTGAGAACTAGAAGCGGAGCAATATTGTCCGCAGGAGCCTGGGAGCCAGAACTCCTGGATTCTCTTCCCAGCTCTGCCATGCTCCATGCCTCAGTTTCCCACAGTGTAAAATGGAGATAATTATACTGATTGACCCTGCAGCTGGCTATGACAGGCTTGGGCAAAATACCCTCCATAGGCTGGATGTGGCCTGCCAAGCTGCCAGATCCAGTCCACAGACTCCCTGCCTGCCCCCCTGCATGCTGCTGAGAAATATAGCCCTTGTGGGGCTGTTTGAACAGCTGTGAGCCCAGCAGAGGGAAGAAAGTATTTGTGTGCTGTTCCCACCCCCAGCACAATCCCATTGGCTGGTTTCTGGCCAATGGGAGCTACTTTTTGTCAACAGGCAGCTTGGGAAGCACCCTCCCCTAAGGCTCCTAGCTGTTCAGAAACCATTTGGCTCCTGCAGCCAGTGTGGGGCAGGGCAGGCAGGGAGTCTGCTTGGGAAGGCTGCTGGTTGGGAGTCAAGCAGGTAAGTCTCCCATCCAGAGCCTGCCTCTGGTACCCCAACCCATTGCTCTCAGCCCCCTCTTCTCCCCATACCCCCCCAGATCCTGCACCCCAATTCCCTTCCCCAGGTCACAGCCCCCTCCTGACCTAGCTCACAACCCAATCTCTCTTCCCTACCCCACAAAACCCAAACCCTCCCCCCTCCTACCTCCATGTGCCCTCACGGATACTGCACCACAGTCTCCCTGCCCCAAGTCACAACCCCCTCCTGTCCTAGGTCATAGCCCAAACCCCTCCATCCCCTCTCCTGCACCCTAGTCCCCTAACCCAGGTCACAGCTGCCTCCTTCACCCAAATACCCACCCACACCCTCTCCTGCACCCCAATCCCTTACTGCAAGCTCCCTTCTGCACCTAGGCTCCATCCCAAACCCACTGATTTGGCAGAGTGTGGCCCTTGACCACTTTCCAAATTCTTGAGTCACCCCCCCACAAACGTTATTGCTCACCCCTGGGCTGTGAGGCGTGGTCTAGTAGTGTTTAGAGGATCACAAAGCTCTTTCCAAGAAGAGGCTGTAGAGAGCAAAGCAGTTCTATTAAGAATGGGGTAACATGGGCACAGGCTGGGGCAGCAAGTGGTTGGGAAACTCATGAGCTCTTGTAGGATAAAAGAACTTGCCCAAAATCCTGCTAAGGAGCGTTAGAGGCCCCTGACTGAGAGCTCTTGAACCTTGTCCCTATCTCTCTTGGGTACTTCTATGGCCCTCATTAGTGGGAGCAGTATTTTTTCACAAACAACTCCAGGGAGGCAGAGCAGTGCTACCTCCCCCAGGGTACAGATGGGGCTCTGAGACAAAGAGACTAAGTGATTTGCCCAAGCTCACACAGGAAACTGGTGGTGGAGCTGGGAATGGGAACTCAGGCTTCCAGAGCCCCAGACTGGTCTCTGAAGCACTGGGCCATCTGCTGCCCTGATCCTTGGCTCCATCCCTATCTTAAGAGGCTGGCTTGTGAGACAACTCCAGAGTCCAGCACTATCAGGAATTGGTTTCATGGGGCTGTGTTGGTGTGGAAGGCTCTTCTATTGACTGGGATTGATTTTTGCATCCAGCAATGACAAGGTTGTGTCAATTAGGGAAGATTTGACATCAAGAGGGCTGGATTTTGCATCCATTCTGGTGATGCTGTCTCACTTGACGAAGATGCTGTGATAGTCCGAGAGGGCACGGTGGCTGTGCCTGCATGCAGACATGGCAGTGAGGTGTCCTGGCACAAGTGCCTTGCTCTGTGAGGGGTCTACCCCGAGTCTGCCATTCAAGTGATCTTTCAGATCAGAGCCACCAGCGCCTTGCTCAGAGCAAACACCCACTCTGGACCTTGGCATCGATTCTTGTGTGGCAGCTGTATTCGGCTCTTTATTTTGCACCAAACCAGACTAGGTTAGGGCTACTTTGGCTGGACTCACTGTAATTCCCCTTCTTTCCTATGGGGGGCAAGACTGTAGAGGCCGCTTGTTGGAGAAGGGGGTCCATGCTGCTGGGGCAGGTGCCCTAACCCTGCAGATACATGGCATTTATTGCATGTGGTGACTAGAAATCCCACCATTCTGCCAAGAGGGGGAGGGATAGCTCAGTGGTTTGAGCATTAGCCTGCTAAACCCAGGGTTGTGAGTTCAATCCTTGAGGGGACCGTTTAGGGATCTGGGACAAATCTGTCAGGGATGGTACTTGGTCAAGCTGGGGACCAACCAGCTTAGTAGTTCTGCAGAAAAGGACCTGGGGGGGTTACAGTGGATGAGAAGCTGGATATGAGTCAACAGTGTGCCCTTATAGCCAAGAAGGCTAATGGCACATTAGGCTGCATTAAGAGGAACATTGCCAGCAGATCCAGAGATGTCATCATTCCCCTTTGTTCAGTTCTGGTGAGGCCACATCTGTAGTATTGTGTCCAGTTCTAGCCCCCCCCCCCCTACAAAAAGGATGTGGACACTTTGGAGAGGGTCCAGCGGAGGGCAACCAAAATGATTAGGGGGCTGGAGCATATGACCTAGTAGGAGAGACTGAGGGAGTTGGGTCTGTTTAGCCTGCAGAGGCAAAGAGTGAGGGGGGATTTGATCGCAGCCTTCAACTTCCTGAAGGGAGGTTCCAAAGAGGATGGAGAGAGGCTGGTCTCAGTAGTGACAGATGGCAGAACAAGGAGCAATGGTCTCAAGTTGTGGTGGGAGAGGTCCAGGGTGGATATTAGAAAAAAAAACTATTTCACTAGGAGGGTGGAGAAGCACTGGAATGGGTTACCTAGGGAAGTAGTGGAGTCTCCATCCTTAGAGGGGTTTAAGTCCCGATTGACAGAGCCCTGGCTGGGTTGATTTAGTTGGGATAAGTCCTGCCTAGAGCAGGGGGCTGGACTTGATGACCTTCTGAGGTATTTTCCAGCTCTATGATTCTATGGTCCTACTGTGAGGGTCCTACTGTGAGGGCAGGGGACTGGACTCCATGACCTCTCAAAGTCCCTTCCAGCTCTAAGAGATGGTATAGCTCCATATATATTAACTGAGCACTGAGCACTTGGCTGCATCCATGTGAGGATCTGACAGCATGATGTGGGCTGGGGGCGCTGGGGGCGAGGGGCCTCCAGGGAATGCCATTCAACAGTCTGGCTTCAACCTATAATGGCCCAAATCCCCCAACTCCAGCTCCCTGCTCAGCACAGTTCTGAATGATCTTGGGGCGTGACCCTGTGTTAGAGGGGCACCCCCTTCTCTATGGGGGCTACTGGGCTCTGCATGCACTCTGAATGCAGGAGCCAAGCCGATGGTTGTGGAGTCTGAGCAGGGGGGAATGCCATTCAACAGTCTGGCTTCAACCTATAATGGCCCAAATCCCCCAACTCCAGCTCCCTGCTCAGCACAGTTCTGAATGATCTTGGGGCGTGACCCTGTGTTAGAGGGGCACCCCCTTCTCTATGGGGGCTACTGGGCTCTGCATGCACTCTGAATGCAGGAGCCAAGCCGATGGTTGTGGAGTCTGAGCAGGGGGGTTCCTTGGCCTATTGTGGGTGCACAACACCTGGCTTTGAAGTCATGAGAGGAACAGAAGCTGCATTGCCATTTCCCCTTCCCTTGGTCTGTGTCCTGCAGGAGAGGCCGTCTGACGAGGAGGATGGTGAATTTGACATGATGTTCCAGCTGCGCCACCAGGAGATGCTGCAGAGTCTGCTGGCCCTGCTGAGGCGGGCGACCAAGGCTGGGCCCATGCTTCACGAGCAGGTGTTCAGGCCACAGAAAATGGCCAGCAGGGAGAATGGACTGAGGTCCACAGCAGGGAGGTGAGTAGGAAATGCAGGGAATAGCCCCCTTCTCAAGACAGGCCCTATCCTGATATCTCCTTGTACCTGAGAGAGGCAGGTCCCAGCTGGAGGCCAGGCCAGACCCCCCCGAAGGCAAGGAAAGAAATGGGAATGTGCCTTTTTTGCCACTATTCTATTGTCTCTATAGCCCCGTGTGACTGTTTCTGCTTTCCAGCTCTGCGACGGCCTAAGACCCTGCCTCCCTGCTCCTGGGCTCTCATGACTGCTCTGAGAGCCCTCCAAGAGAAGCAGCAATGGGACCTTCATAGATCACCGTTAGCTCATTCCATGCAGGTCACCCACCAGCAATCAGAGCTAGAGCTGGGCACTCCCAGCAGCACTGCCATTGCCTCTGTCTCCTGCCTGTGCAGTTCTCTGGTCTCTGATGGTCTGCTTGCTCTCCCCTCCCCCCCTCCCATCTGGCTGATCTGTGCTGTGCAGTTGCCTCCAAAGCCCGTTCTGGCTTAGTGAGCTGGGGCGCTCACGCTAGGAGGCACCCTACCCTTCCTCCACGTCCCCCTTCCCAGGGCCTACAGTATCTCCTGGCCCCCACCATTCTACTCTCTGCCCCCTTCAGAGCTGCAGGTCAGTTCCCATCTGTGGCACTCCCCCCCCTTCTCTCCCCCCACGTATCTGTGCAGTTGCCTCCAAAGCCCGTTCTGGCTTAGTGAGCTGGGGCGCTCACGCTAGGAGGCACCCTACCCTTCCTCCACGTCCCCCTTCCCAGGGCCTACAGTATCTCCTGGCCCCCACCATTCTACTCTCTGCCCCCTTCAGAGCTGCAGGTCAGTTCCCATCTGTGGCACTCCCCCCCCTTCTCTCCCCCCACGTATCGCATGGTCTCACCCATTCCCTTCCTCCTCAGCTCCAGCCAGCTGCACCCAGCCCTGTACCACAAGGCCTCTCACGTCACCTCGCACAAC